TTTACAGAGAAAAGTGGGCGGATTACAGAAACAACCATTCATTGTGGTGAGGGTTGTGGCCGAAGAAGGGGGAAGGGGGATCGTATTGGGAGCCTTCTAGGAATGATGGTGGTGGTGGGGGTCGCAGAAATTTCGAATAAGTGCGAACATGACGGTTAACCCTGTCACCAAGAGGGCTTATGGTATTTTGTGGGCCGGTTTCTCGTTTAGCTCCGCTAAGACAAGGGCACTCCTGGATATGAACTGATATTTCCTCGTATTTCCTTGTTAGGTAACAACTTACAAAGGTATCACTGAAACCTTCAAACTTCAACTCTTCTCCTTCAAATTCGAAGATCTGGTGTCATGGTACAGAATAGGGTTGGAGGTGTCCCGGCGATGGCGGAACAAGCATCTGTTAGGATTTCCAAACAAGGAAGGCGTTACTACCTTCATGATTTTGGAAATGGATGGTTGCTGATAGTAAAAAGATCGTTGTATTCTTGAAAGCTTCGACGAATCGAATAGAAATGGAATGAAGATTTTCTCCGGAACGGGGTGGGAAATATGTCGACCCCAAAATTCGATATACACAAGGGTTGCCGTACATTATAGGGCACCTCACACGGTTCACAGATTAATACACCAAAATGAGCCGTTTGAATTCTACCCCTTTGAGTGTTTCAAATATCCGAGATCGCTCACTAGTCATTTAGATCTTCTAAACCGCATGTGGGAACTCAAAACTAACAGCCCATCGAGGGATTCATTGTGAAGATTCAATGTAAATTCTAGTCCTTCTCAAGCCCAAAATGTAGGATCTGAATGTATGCCCTGTTCAAACCAAAACTGCCATTTCTTATTCCATCCCCTTTCATATGAACATGTTCGTATCTTTCTGCACAAATCGGCCAGAGTGGTAGCATTTACAACGTAGGTAAAAGCTGCGGGGTCGCAATTATAGCTGCAGGTGTAATTTTCTCGACGACATAATAGCAAGGCAGCTCACCAAAGGCCCATTTTTGGAATTCCTCACTAATTCCGGACTACCAGAGTTTTCCTCGAGCTCAAATCCAGTAATCAGCAGTTGTAATAATGAATGGCAAGGACTCGACAAATTTTCAGTGTTGATTATCCCCTTTCAAATATGCAACGTATTCGACTTCTACATACCTCCCCTTCAAAAAGCGAGAAAGTGTCGGGTGCAGACCATGCACCACAAGTGACGACGGCCTTCACAAAATGTTAATGTTTTTGCCAATGAAATGATTAGCCTGTTGCAGTTGTATTCTATCGATTGTCACTAATTACAACTATCATTTACCAGAAATCAGCTATCACTATGAACAACTTCTAACCAGATTTACTTGGAGGCCGTCGTCAGTTGTGGTGTTTGGTCTGCACCCGACACTTTCTCGCTTTTTGAAGGGGAGGTTACATATAATTCCTCATCTACGTGAAGGATTGATCGTTTCCTTATAAATTTACTCCAGCGCTACTCGGTGTGAAAAGCAGCGCTCGGTCCTTGCAGATTGGTCGAGTAGGTGATCCTGGAGAAGTGAAGGCCACTGGATTGGCCTGTAGTTGAATGCTATTGGGATTTAGCCCTATCGGCCAATCCAGTGGCCTACAAGATATGTGCTATTATCGTGGGCTCAGAGAAAGGATTCCAAAACTCAAAGTGATTTTAGAAATGGCATTAGATAGGAGTAGGTATTTAGACGGACCAGATTCTAGTCTGAAAATCCACGAGAAAAACTGCATAGCCAGGGTGATAGTTGAAGAAGTGTAACTGCACTGTGTAGTACTGTCTCAGTTGAATCCCGACCTAATCAAACTTTTTATGGCGTTACGGAGAAAGTGTTATACTTGAATGAATGAACACGTTAGGAATGCATTACGAAGCCATTTACGCGAATTCGCAACCAGGCTCCGTATGCCGTGTGTGATATGTGAAGCGTTCAGTTCAATTTACGATGCCATAGTAACCTCACGGTGAGAAGTTTTTTCACTACGCACTGTCGAAGTGCTTTAACTGGACTCCAATCATCTCAAACGCAGAAAACATTCGCGTGGGCTATTTTTCTCTAAGGGGGGGCAAAAAACCCTTTCAAATTTTCTTTTCTTCTAATAGGTGCCAGGGAAGGGCATGTGTTTAAAATGACTAAATTTGTAATAAAAACCATACATCGTCCAAAGTAATAGATCCCAGGGGATTTTGTTTTGTAGCGCCTGGAATGATAGGACAGCCCGTATCATTTCGGGAAAAGTGATAAATGGGGATTATAGGTGAGGGCCTTCATCGTGCGCATCCCTCCGCCATCTCAGCGCTAAGGTTCTTCCTAGTTTCATACGATTTCTGTTAGAAAAAAATTTAGACGCAGCAGCCTGTTCGAACCGCATCCTCTGCCTTACCGGCATGGTCTTCACGTTACTCACGAGCACCAGTTTAGCCCAAGTCAGCTTTTCATTCACTTTCAACAGTCCAACATCTAAAGTTATCAGTCACAACCTAAATCTATCCCTGGTGTAAATGAAAAGGTTGATCCCGCGCAGTTTAGTGAATAATTACTAATAATAATTACAATAACTGTCGCAGTGAATAAAACTCAGTGAGGTATTAGGTTGTCTCATAAACAGTGTCGCTTTTTTTCATCCAAAAAATTTTCATCTAAACCTCCATGCTTTTACATCGTGTTGTGTACCATTCGAAAGAGAATTGTCTGCTCTACAAAATGCTATGTCCACTTCCACATTTCTTCCAGGGTTTTCAAATTTTGGGCCTGTGAAATGGGAGGTCCGGCCGACAAAAAATGGCCAAACCGACAACTATCTCTAACATTATCTTTCCTTGGGAGAAATCAATCTATGATGTACCTTCTACTTATGCATGACCTCTTCTAATCATTACACTACTAGGTTTTCCTACAAATCGCGTCGTTCAATTTCCAGAGCTGGTTTTTCAACCAGAACTCGACGATCGAGCACCATTACCTGTGATCTAGGTCGAAATTTTTTTATGGCCGAGACGTTGAAGAACTGGTTGAATTTGAAGAACAAGTCATGACTAAGTTAGGAATGTACGACTGGTTGATTTTCTCATTTTCTAAGGGATAATTTTTTTCAAAGAAATGTGGTCACTTTCGCGGTAAAGCACCTTATACCGAAACATCTAAAATTCGAACTAATTCCCAACAAACAGAGAAACAAAACAAATGAGCGAGTAGAGCAGAAGAAGTGCTCGTAAAAGGAACACCACTCGATATGAAACAATGACGTTTACGAGGAACAATTTTAATTTGAAAATTGCTATGGCTTATCCGTCAGCCAATTCGAAAAGAAAAACGGCAAAGCTTTTTCGGCAACCTAAGAGTGGAATGTTTAGAAGAGGTCATGGGTAAGTATAGGGTATATCACTGGTTGATTTCTCCCCAGGGAAAATAAAGTTACAGCCAGTTGTCGGTTTGGTCAATTTTTGCCGGCGAGACCTCCCATTTTGCTGGCCTGAAATTCGAAAACTCTGAAATAGCGGTGGAAGCGGAACACAGCATTTTGTAGAGCAGACAATTCTCTTTCGAATGATATATAAAACGATGTAAAAGTTTCATGATTTAGATGAAAATTTTTTGGTTGAAAAAAAACGACATCACTTATGAGACAACCTAATACTTAATGTTAAGAGACAGGTTGGAAAAATGGACCCAAACAAAAAAGTTGACGTCGACGCTTTCTTCTTCCATTCTATTCACACTGCTTCAAAAGGGAAAGGACTGATTCATAAAGAGATGGAATCCGAAGGGGTTTTTGATCGCTGATGATTGGGTCATTTTTTCTTCCGATCTGATAAGGACAGCGAGCAGAAGCGGCTTGGTTAGTCAGAAAAAAATTGCGAACGCTGTTTACGCAATGCTGACAATGGCGCAATGCTGACGAAGGGTTGCTTTCGCACCACATCCCGTAGCCTTTGTGAAGAATATACAACGATGAATGAGACAAACCTCTTTTCGGCAGTGAGGGCTTTCAAGATGAGACAAGAACACTTCAACAATATTCACACGTATCGGCAATACCAAAGCGCCGTCTCTTCGCCTGAAACACAACAGCTTCACTGCTGAGAAATACTTTGGCTACAGCTATATTGTTGAGATATCATTTTAGCTAGAAAACTGGATAATTGGATAACTGGAAAATATAGTTTTGTAATTATTTCACTATGGATACAGTGAAATGAATAGCGCTGACGGCGACCGAACTGCTACGTTATTCTGACGCTTTTGTGATGCACCGCGTATTCTATTCCAATCCAAAATCGTAGTTGTATTTGAATGGAATTGTTCTACATAGTACATTGCTCGGCCTGACGGTCAATTAATTCGTAGAAGAAACAAAAGACTGGTTTCAGGTTATCGACCCCGGAATTATAGAGTTCAAAGGCAAACGACTCTATAGAAAAAGATTTCACGCAACAGGGGAAATAAACAAATCTAAAGAGACATAAATATTTTGATACTTTTTGTTATTATTCCCTGCTTTTCCCTCATCCATCTAAGGAAGGAGGTCTGAGAGATGATAAATAGTTAAAGTTGCTTCTTTCAAGCCTGAGGTGAGAAATTTATGGGGTAGCTGTGGAGAGGGAAGGAGGGGGAGGGAAGAAGGAGGT